GTGGTGAGATGGCGTGAGAAGCTTCGTGACCGGGTTGGCGCAGGGTGAGGGTCTGTTTGGGGGCGAGCTCTGGAGTGCCTGAGGTGGTGGTTGGGATCGGGAGAAATCTCTGTTGGCTTGGCCGACACTGACGCGGTGGCGCTTGTGGGTACCGCCTGACCTTCCTGAAGGGCGCCGGGGCTACCCTTCCTCTCTCCTCACAGCGTACCAGGGGAAACCCTTGGCAGCAGCGTCGTCATCGTCGCGTTCCTTCTTGGAGGTGCTGATTGGTACCGGCGCTTCGGAAGATCGGAGCTTGGTGGGCGATCTCCGGTGGGAGCAGCGGCCTCGAGGCTTCTTCGTTTTTTTGTCGATCCGTCGTTGTTGGCATTAGTTTCTTTTCTATTTTCTCTTTCTTTTTTTTTGGGCGTGACTGTGCTGCTTCCGCCTCAGCACCTATCGTTGGATGTTCGGTTGGTTGCTTTGTATACAAAGCGGGGAACCCTTTCGGTAATAGGAGAAACGTTTCCCATCGTGGTCATACCACTCCACAACACCAATGGTGACAATGATAGCTGACGCCTTCTCATTTGCTTGCTGTTCCATTGTATTTGTCTACCTCAAGTGAAACGTGCTTAAACTTTGCATATGAGAGGGTGGCTTTTTCGATGCTGACTTGAAAGAATAGGCCACCATGTCTGGCAGCTAAACTTCGGTTCGCGAACCTATATAAATGAAACGGTTAAAAAACGTAAATCAACGAAAACTCTTCTCCATTGTAGATTATTTTTTATTGTACCCACTCACTTCGTATGTGGTTATATGCTACACCGACGGAGTATCAACCGTTGTTCAAGGTGATGTTTTTACGCAACTTCGTATGCGGTTGGAGCGGCTGGCCAGGAAGTTTTTTTACCCAACATGGATGGGAACATAATTTCTGGACCGGTCTACCTCCTCTTTGGATATAGTTATAGTGTTGGTCATATGACTCTACTGATGTCGATATGTCGGTTTTTCTTTCAACTTTTGTTAGAGCTTTAGTGTTTGACCATGTACATCTTAGTTATGCAGAGGCAGGATATTACTCATCATGCTTTGTATTCGCTTGATGCTACATTTTGAGTTAATAGAAATGTTCTTTATTGAAAAAGATCAGCTATCTATTTAATGAAAACAAACCATTTAATTGTGTCATGATGATATTTTTCTGGTACTCCAATATATAACGATGAAGATCTTAATTATGGGTTAGACTGCAGCATGCTCACTAGTTTTCCCTTCTGTACGGATTGCCGACACAGCCACACCTATAATAAAAGATACAGTAGGTGTGTTGGTGCATATGTCACGCACGCGCGTGCGTGCGCACCAGAGAGAGGGGGGCATCGATCCCAGTGGGAATCTGAGGGCATCCAGGAACAAATCCTCTGGTCCTACCTTTGATGGCTAGATAGATGAACAATTCACCGTGGGCCATCCTTATGGCCATAATCGCGTACTGTGGTGTGGTGATGCCTAAGTAAATCTAGGGCTATGAAAGCTCCGCTATACCAGAAATATGCACAACCTCAACTATAAGCTCAAAAGCGGTCCACCCACAAGAAAATATCCCGGACTTTCCTCCTCCTTCTGTCGGCGTCACCGCTGGTCCGCCTCATCTCCGATGGCCTTTGGGCCAGACGAGGAAGACCTTGGCCCCGCACTGGCGGGAAGGACCCAGTTCTCATTCTTGTTAATTAGGTTCAGCGTCTTGCATGGTTGGGGCGGCTTTGCGGCTGTGGTGTCCCTCGGTAGGAATAATGTCTGCCACGTTCTATGCCCATTACGATGGTGCGTCTTGAATTGTCGGAGAGTGTGGAGGTGTGTCTCGGACGGATCTCATGGAATTTTGGTCGGTGCCGGTCTTCGGTGGATCTGTTTGGATCCATTATTCGTTTGGGTGTTTACAGGTTTGATTCTTTCGATCTACGACTTTCTTCATCGATGATGGTTGCTGCTCTGATGCGATGGTCCTATGGGTCCTTAGCATGACGACTTTCCGACTATCTACTACAATAAGGTTTGTCCGGCTCCAGCGAGGGAGCAGGGATGACGGTGGTGCGCCTTCGACTTGCTCCAGTGCTTGTAGTCATCGCTAAGTGGCCCACGGGCCTTGTTGCAATTTTTATTACATTCGGTAGTTTTTTTACTGCCATGCATTTCAATTCAAACACCGCAATCACACATACAAGTCATTCATTCCCAACTGTTCTGCCGTTTTCTTCCGGTCCAAGCTCATCAGTAGCGCTTATCACGTAGTTATACAACGAGGTTACAGGACTCAGAGGGCCCACTCTTGACCTGAAAGTCAGTGCGATGCATTTCCTACCTCCTGATCGCGAGAGATGGTGGCCCCCTGTAGTTTTGGGTCGACCAGACCCACCTTTGTAGTGTTGACATCCTTAGTCCACGACCTCATCAATATCAACCTCTACAGCAACTTCGAGGGTTCGGTATCATGATGCAAAGCAGTGGTGGAGCTAGTAGCAATTTTTGAAAGCCTGGGCATACTTTACTCTAAATTAGAAAAGTACGCCCTCTATGACTAAATATAAAATGTTTGTGCAGTTTTATTTAACTGCACAAACTTCTTGTGTTTAGTTACGGAGGGAGTACTTGACTATGGTCTATATAATGAATAACTACACAATGAAGCATCTTAATTTTGCATTGAAAGGTAAAAACATTTGAGACAATGAAGCATCTTAATAAAATGTTAATTACACCTAATCAGATATCTAGTTTGAAACTTTGTGGCCTAAAATCGTGTAACAATGGCATTATCATCAAAAATATTAAAAACCAGCTCTCTTTCACACGCCGCACACAATCACCATCTCGTCAGTCGCATTCTTCGGCAGATTTTTTTTAGTGCACTCATGTACCATGTTTTTTAGTGCATCGTTCTGTACTGGACTTTCTTTTAGAACATGTCCTGTATCAGATTTCTGGCAAAAGTAAACGTTATGTACCAGATTTTTTTTTAGGGGTAAATATTCTGTACCAGATTATACAAAAGCAAGTGCTGGCACCTCTGCCTTTTTTTTTGAAGATTGGGTCCCTTTTTTTGAGACATTGAAGATCGGCTCCTGTGCCTTCTTGAAGAAGTGATGCCCGACTTATTGTGGCCCAACCAGTAAGATTAATGAAAAAAGGGCAATGGCGGTGCTGCTATGGAGTGAGGCCCAAGAGTCAGTGAGTGGCCCATTGATGAATCGAATCGTCCTTTTCAGCTGAGAGCAGTACTTATGACTGCTGCAGCGATTTTTACCGCACTGGAACCCTGTGAGAGTTCAGCTAAGCAACGGCGCCGAGCCCGAGCACGTGCCAAGGGTGCCCGTACGGTAGATTCTCCATTCCAAAAATATTTCCATTTAAAAAAAATCATGAAAGAAAAATCAAAAACAAAAAACAACAAAAACCAAATAGAAATAGAAATGAAGAAACTGACAAACAAAAAAAATACCAAATAGCAAAAAAAACATAGAAAAAAGGCAAAACATGTTAGAAAATAGAAAAAAAAAACTGGTTCAGAGAAGGTTCTAGAAACCAAAACCGGTGGGGAGGAAACAAGAATGAGCCGGACCATATAGCAGGCGCTCTCTCATAGGGAGCGTGTGTTTGCCTGCTATTCCCCGACTCAGACAGGGAATAGTAGCAACATGGCCCATTGTGGCCATACCACTTCACCAAAGGTGACTTTTTTTTTGCACACCGACAATGGCATTGACAGGTGACACCTTCTCTTGTCGCATGTAAAAATTTGGCTCATCACTATAGTTGTCCATCTCAAGTGATGAATGCTTAAACTTTGCATATCAGAGGGTAGCTTTGGCCGACAATTTAGTCGCGTCCACTAGTTAATGGAATGCACGGTGTTCCACTTCAAAAAAAAAAAGTTGGCCCAACGTAATGAAAGCTTTTATTCACCCAAAACCTCCTATGGTACTTGTAATAAGTTGGGCCAACAATTACTTTACTCATTACTTTCACCTCATCTGCATCGTTCAAGAAATATCTCTCATCTGCTTTTGTGAGATGAGCCACCGCAGCCACCGTTGAGTTGAAGCACACATATGTTTCAACTTTATTTTTCTTGTAAATGTGTCTTCATATACATTTTTCAGAAAAGAGGGGAACACTCTCGGCCTATGCCGCGTGCCTTTATATAAGGATGCAATGCCTTCTCCTGCTCAATACTTGCATTAGTAATGGGAGGCATCTGTAGTTCATTAGGAATGGGAGGCATCTTGAAACGCATGGACTAACCGAAGCATGAAGGCGGCGCTCGCAGCAGTACTTTTGGGGGTGGAAATATTGTAAGTGGTAATGCCATCAGCAACTAGGTTAGTGCCTCAGTGAACGGAAGTACTATAAGAGAGCAAGTCGTGTCTGAACTCTGTGCTACAGAAAGAAATTCAGAAAAGGAAGACTGCATACGCTACAGGAAAAAAAAATCCCACTATTTATCAATTTGATTCAAAGCATTGAAATTTCTCTTTTACATTCATATGCATGAAGAACAAGGCAAAGGCCTTAATAAGTACTAGCACATAATAGTATCCTCATCTTACCTTTGCATATGGTTTAATCTTACTTTGACCATAATATTTCAGGCTTCCTGTACTTCTCCTATTCTTGACTTCTTGCTGCACAATTCACATGATTTCCTACCCAGGAAAATTACTTGTAAAACAGAGATGATGTATGCCCAGCAAATTACACAACGTAATACTGGTTGTAAATAGGCCAACCAGCCAGTTGGAATAACAGAGTCATAGGATCATTCCAGATAACACAATTTACTAGACAAGTGTTATTCCTCCTAACATAACATAACTCTTAATATGTGTGGGATGCAGTCTGAGCTCTGAAATCTGACAGATATAATGAATAAAATACATGTGAGATTCCCGTGTTTCTATCCTGCCTCGCCGCCCGTAAATGACAAGAAAAGAACAGGCAAAAATAATCATCATCTATTCGAAAATCTTCTCACCAGTTGAGAAGACCAAGAAAATGACTGAACTAAAAATACAGAGGTATGCCGGAACAAAGAAGACTGTTTTCCAGGTTTCCGAGTTCGTTAGATCCATGTTAGAAGCCTTTGCAGCCTCCAGAATGTTTCCCGTGAGGCCGACGCCAACTATCCCAGCCAATGTCCCAGCTGTATTGGAAACCCCCATCACTATGCCGGCGAACTTTGGAGCAACATCCATGTGGTTCACGGCGAACCCTGCTCTTCCTAGAGCCAGAAAGCCAAGGGACACCGATGAGCAGATCACAGTCCCTGAGGGCGTCCCGAATGAAGGGAGGGCCATGAGTGCAAGTGCCGAGACAACAAACCCGATGGTGTTAAGGAGCTTCCTTGTCTTGGTAACTGATAAGATCCTTTTTGTAATCAAGTGATCAGCAACCACTCCACCAATGTTGGAGAATATAAACATGTTGAAATAGGGAAGCATCTTTGACGATCCCATGTCCTGGAGGCTAAGCTTAAGGGCTAGTTCGAAATAGGTAGGCAGCCAGTTCATGATAACATACAAGGCATAGTGGAAGGTGAAGTTGTTCACGACAATTGCCCAAACAGGTAGACTGAAGATAATCCTTCGCCATGGTATCTTTACAGTACGAGGTGCAACAACTCCTACTGACTGCGCCTTGATCTTCTCCCGAGATGCTACTTTTGGCATTGCCACTTTTGGAAGGTCGGTGCGAGGTGGCTCACTGGAGAACTTCAACCATATTACAGACCATGCTACTCCAAGTACTGCTTCGACTAAACATACAGATTGGGGTCCCATGTGCTTCACCAGACTTGGAAAAAACAACATGCCACAAGCTGCCCCGAGGTACATCCCTGAGGTTGTTAACGACACTGAGCGAGAGCGCTCCTGCGGTGGCACCCATTGTGCGAGGACTGTGTGAATGGCAGGAAATATGAAACCTTGTGCTACACCAACAAAAAGGCGAGAAAGGACCAGAATGACTGCTCTGTTGGGGTCCAGTGGAATTAGACCGCATATCAAGGACCACAACAGGAATGACAGCAGCAGAACACGTCTCCCTCCCAATCTCTGAGCTGCCCATCCACCAGGAATTTGTGACAAAACATAACCATAATAGAACATGGAGAGTATCAGGCCCTTGTTTGCTTGATTCACGTTGATTGCATCAGCTGCTACGGTGTACGCAATTGAGAAACCCACACGCTCAACGTAACAAACATTTGTGCAGATGAATGTCAGCAATACTATGACATAACGCTTTGGGATCTTCATTCTCGCCATCACTAATTAGAGATGAACCACAAAGTGTTGTAGCAGTCTTAATCAGGGCGCCACTTGCTGACCTCCCACGAATATTTACCAGGGTTTACCAGAAACCTGTCTTTCTTCCTTCCATCTCTAGGGGCACTAAGATCTGAAACAGACAAAATATTGATCATTCACTGGTATGAAACAATATGGGCTTCTTCAGCTGTGCTTCATATATCCATAGCAGTTTACTGATCTCATAAGCAATTTAATAGAGACAAATCACTATATGGTGCACATTGGGACCTGCTCAATGGAGACGGAGAAACCAACACCACTCAGTTAGATCTTAGATGAATCAAGGCAAGAATATAAAATTTACCATTATGCAATGTGAGAAAAATATTTAGAATCCTACACTATCATCAACTATTGTTGAAATGCAAACTGCAATTTGCAGGACAGATGGTTTACACTGTCACAACCTTTACATTGCAAGAAAAAGAAAGAAAGTATTCCAAGATGCTCAGAATTTTTTTGCACCGTTTAAGGAAACATGCTAATCTAGATGGTTGAACAGGCCCATCAAGACCTATATTGTACACGGATTGAACTTGATCTTACACATATCCTTGTACCAAATCGTAATGCTAAGTGTTTCCACAGGCATGACGACACCAAGCTTGGACGCACAACTCAACTGCAAGCAAGAACAAACTAAACCCCTGGTCCCAATAAATCAAGTAATCATGTGGTTCCCAACGGAACACACAATGCCCACACATTTGCACTGATCCTAGAGATTTGAGTAAGCAGGATCAGATCTCGATCAGAAAATTTTCCACCTTTCACACAGATGTGAATCTAAAAAATCCGAACGGTTCACCAAGCTCGTGAGATCTTAACTGAAAACCTGCGGCATTCGCCACCAACCACCAGCGCCGGACCAGATCGCCCAGAGATCTGATACTCGAAACCCC